TTTTTTCACAGACACAGCTGGTCTATTAACAGCATCTTGTATGAGAGGGACATGCAAATCCAGCCCCACAGCAGGCTGGGGCCACGCAGCTGCCCAAGGGAGATCTCAGTGCGGGGTGGGAAGGAATGGATCACTTTTTTTTTGGTTTGTATCACACTTCTTGCCCACCCCCCCACCTCTCAGGCAGCTTCAGGATGCAGCCTGGTAACAAGACTCAGGATGTTTCAGGCCAGACAGCAGAGCCAAAGGCAGCTGGCAGTGCGATTCCCAGCAGAGCCCAATTCTGCTGGCAGCCACAGCCGCCTTCAAAGCGGCAACCAAACCTCCCGAGGTTTGGAGCGTGCGCTCCTCCAGCTTCAGAGGGAAGCAACAGGGTTTGACCCAGGAGCCAGCCCCTGGAGGCTAAAGCTAACAGCATCACCCCAGAATTTGGGCAACCGAATTCAACAGGTGCTGCAGCAAGCAGGAGCACGGGCTGAGCCCCCCCGTGCCGGCAGCCCCGCTGCCACCCGCCGACTTACCACCCCGATGCCTTCGAAAGCAAAGATCGCCGTGCCAAAAAACAGAGGGTAGGTCTTCCAGGCTGCTGCTAGAGGCAGCCTGCTGGGATCAGGAATGTCCTGGAAAAAAGCCCACACAGAGTTCAGACATGGGGAGGACCTGACCCACTCCCACCGCTCCCCGTTGCAGCCCCACGCCGTGGGGAAAGCCCTGCGGGGCAGAGGATAACCACCATGCCCACAGGAGCGTGCAGCATCCCATGGTGTGCAAACATCCCATGGTGTGCAAACATCCCATCACCAAACTCCTCTTGCCCACCAAAGCACAGGACATCAGAGGAGTAAGGGAGGGGAGCTGTAGACACCTACCCTAACGATGTACTGGTAGATCATGATGAGGCTGATGAACATGGCCACGTTGGCCAGCATGGAGAAGATGGACAGGACCTTGAGGTTCTGGATAAAGGTGAGCAGAACCACGAAAGGCAGCAGGGAAAGCATGTATAGCCGGGAGTCCATGGTGGGGGTCATCACCACCGTCCTGTTGGAGGCGCAGTCATTGGTGGTCCCATTTGCTGCAGATATGACCTAGGGAAGCAGAGAAAGGCTTGATGAACCCCATCATGTAGGTCTAAGAGCTGTGGATCTCGGCAGCCCATCCCAGGTGGGTCAGAATACTACCCCATGAGCTCACTTCCGAACCCAGCTAGCCGATTAAAATTGAAGCAACACAGGTTTTCAGGTAGTTTGGAAGAGAATCCCTGTTACCTCGCCAGGATCAGAGGTGTGACAGTTACAGCACATGAGCTGAGACAGCAAAACCTGCCCGAGCCCAGGCAGGTGAACCCAGCAGCCACATGAACCAAGGGCATAGGTTGGTTTGCACTGCCCATGTGACCAGTTGAGAAGAAAGAAGCACTAACTGCTATTTAATCAATAGTCCTTTTCCTCTTGCTGTATCACATTGCACTCAACACCACACCCCCCTTTCCACCACCCAGTGCCCTGTTCCCATGCATCTGGAAGCTACTGCTGGCCCCTAACTTCACTTTTCTTCATGGAAAATCATCCTTTCCTTGGGGTCTTTCATCCCAAAGGCACTACAGGCCATGTGGTCACTTCTGGAGACAGTTTTGCCCCAGGAACTGGGTGGCTGAGCCATCCCTCCCAAGAGCATGGGCTTGGGAGATCACCAATACAGCCAGGACCAAGCCAGTTTGGTTACCAGGTACTGTCTCACCACTGCAGCAAAGGGCTAATTCAACCTGCTCAAGAGTAAGTTCTGCCCCAAAGGAGAGGTTAAATAGTTTGTGAGCAAATCAGCCTCCTCCATGGGACACACAGAGCCACGCACCCATGGGACAGTGCTCCTCTGGGCCCCAGCCTGCCCTGCCTCTCCACAGCTTGCTCCAAAACCAGTTTCCAAGCCAAAGTTCTGGCCTGCACAGCAATACCTCAACCTGAGGTACCACCTGCACCATCACTCCCTGTCTAACATCCCCACTGCAAAAAGTAACAAGCAACAGTTCTCTCTCCGCACCCAAAAAAATTCCAAAACTGACTTGTTATTCACAGTTTCTCACAACACTGGAGCCAGCCAAGCGGTTCAGGGTTTCTGTTTATTTCCTCCCAACGCCTGGCAGAAGGCAAGTCTTTCCCTAAAGATGTAATTAAGCTCCAGAGCCACAGGATGAGGCAAGAAACCAGAATGCAAACAGGTCCAAGAAAGGAAGAAGGGAGGTTCACAGCAGGTCCCGGTACCCATGACACATTACCATCTACACAGAGTATCCATAAACCAATTAACTGAGATGGGCAGGACATCCAAGGCACAGTCCCTCTGCTTTCACCGTGTTCCTGCCTTCCCTAACCCAGGAACAGCCTCCGCTTCCCTGGGGTGACAGGGAAGGCTCCAACACCTCACACAGCAAACTCACAGGGACTCTCAGACAAACCTGACCTATTTGAATGGGAAAAGCAATCCTCCAAAATAGCTGGGTGGACAAGCAGTACCTTCCTGAGGGGCATCAGCTACGGAAAGCAGACCTTTGGGGGAGAACAGGAGCTAAGAAGAACCCAAGCCCCTCCACACCCAGTCTCATCTGGCCCTTGCTCACAAAGGAGGGAGTAAATCTAACCTGTCTCAGATTGTCAGCCAGAAAGACAAAGTACACGCAGCAGAAACCCAGCTGAGTGATGATCAGGAAGAGTCCCACCACACGCCTAGAAGAGAAAAAAAGACCATTTGTCAGCCAGGCCATACAGAAGTAAGAGCCCACGTGGGTTGCTTGAGGGCTGCACTCGAACACTGCAGCAATGCTGCTCTCCCCAGGGCTCCAGATGCACAGGTCCCAGCACACCCAGGTCGCTTCTCCTCAACGCTCAGGGAAGAGGACTGTACCTCCATCTAACCTCACAGACCTCAAGCTCTCCTATCTCCCACTCTCATTCCCTCCCGAGGGTCTGGGCCAGCCTCAGGAGGAACATTTAGCATCTCCAGTCTGCTGCTGAATTGTCACAGCTGGAGACAATGCTCCCCAGACACAGGAATAGGAGGACATTCCCAGCATCCGATGTGCAGTGTGATCTGTGTGCAACATCTGTGCGATGTTGGGACATCCACAGGGCTGGTAGCATCTATCAGACATGCTCAACATCTGACAGGATGGGCCAGCACTGCAGGACATGCTCTTCACCCCTTTGTTATGCTGCCGAGACTTACTTCTCCCACCCCTTTAGTATAAGCCATATCTCGCTGGGGACAGGACTGGGTCAAAAGACCTCAACTGAGGTTACACCCCCGGGGGACATTGAGCACTCAGGGCAGGTGAGCCAAATAACATTTTATGTCACTTGTAGTCATCTGCTGACACAACTAAGAGATCAGCCAGCTCTTCTGGAGCACATGCTGAGCTTAAAGAGGAGTTCTCTCTCTGGAGGGGGGGAACAGGTACCTTCCCCAGACGGCGTGTGTCCGCAGCCACGCGCTGGGCGTCGACTCCAGCCCGTACACCACAGTACCCCCATAGTCCAGAAACTGCTTCTGGAACCTGTCCGGAGAAGACAGAGAGAAGGGACATCACATCAGCCCCGTCTGCCAGTTCCTGAGGCAAACGATGACATTAATGGGGAAAACAGTTCCTGCAGAAAAGCCCCAGCAGGAATTCGTGACCGAGGCTTCGACATGGGCCACCTGCTGCTGGGAGGCTTCGGAAAACCCCCCGGGTTTGTTGGGAAGGAATGAAGAGCCGGAGGAGCAGCAGCGCTGAGAAAGGGAGTTGCTCCTTACCTGCGGCAGAAGTGATGGGCGCATTTCACCAGGATGCCCATGCAGTGCACGGCCACGATCCCCATCACCACCAGGCTCACAGGACCCAGCTGCAGGGGAAGAGAGGGGGAAGGCTGCACTCTGACGGCCAAAGGCAGAGCTGCACCACGGGTTTGACATCCAGACAGAAAAAACCCACGGGCTGGTGAGCCGAAACACCGCTGGAGGCTGAACCGGAGCTCGGGTGCTGCTCCCGGGAACCTGCCCCCGAGAACCCAGTAACCCCACACAGAGCCACAAGCTTGGCAGGAATGATGCAAAAGAAGCAAGTTGGGGCAGTCTGGGCACAGCAAAGCGCTTCCAGGATTGTTTTTCCACACTATCTTGCACATCGCTACTATACAGGTGACAAAGAGGTCACGGTTGGGACAAAGGAAGGAAGTTTTCTTTTTTAATTTGTTTTATTCAAGCTCCAACAGGGTAGGTTTAGATTGAACATTAGGAAGGAATTTTTCACAGAAAGAGCGCTACTATACAGGTGACAAAGAGGTCATGGTCGGGACAAAGGAAGGAAGTTTTCTGTTTTAATTTGTTTTATTTCTCAATCTGAGCAATGGGAACGCTGCACTGCTGGGGGAGGAAACCCAGAGCAAAGCAGCAAGGTGCCCCCAGGTTGTGCTGAACCGAGCACCCACAGGACCAGGGTGAGGAGATGCCACCTAAGCGCAGCACGGAGAGTTTTGGGAGAAAGGGGCTGATGCCACAGGGGCAGGGAGGTAACACCCAGCTGGGTGGAAGGGCAGGGACCCAGCACCCAGCCTGACCCCAGCAGAGGAAACCACAGTCCCAGGTCCCACACTGAACTCCTCAAGAACCCCGAAACAATGCAGGAGCAGCAAGAACAGTCTCAGCAGCAAACGAAACGAGCCACAGAGACCAGGGTGCAAAAGCTCATAAGATGCCACCAAGAGGCGTCTTGGCAGGGAGACAAGCCACCGTGCCCCGAGGCTGCTCTGCCCCATGGGCAGCAGCTGGGTGAGAGCCACCTTACCAGGATGCCAGCGTTCTTTATAGCCAGAGGCAGCCCCAGCAGCCCCGTGCCAATGTTCCCTTTCAGGAGGTGGATCAGGGTCTGGTACCACCTAAGGGAGATGAGATGCAGAGATGACCATCAGTAGACACCTGCACCCCGACCACGCAGAGTCTCAGCCTCCGCTCAGCCTGCTCAGGGTCCAGGTCCTGCTCTGAGCTGCAGTGACCAACACAGAGCTCTGGATCCTGTCCCCTTGACCCAGCTCAGCCCAGCGGGACTGAGAAAGGACTGGAGGCAAAGATTCAACAAACAGATTTTGGGTGGGCACAAGTGATGCCAGCACAAGTAAGAGGTTGCACAAGTGTCTGAGTTGAAGAGATTGGTCACCCTCTGGCAGAGAGGAGTTCTCCCTCCTCTGCCCACCTGGGTGAATAAGGGACAAGGAAGCCCCCAGGGAATGGCTGGACATGCCATCTGCTTGCCACAGCTTCCCATGGAACCCAGCTGGAGTGGGGGAATATTGGGAAAAGGATCACCACCCACTACTGGTGAGCTCAGCTTCACCAGAGAACAGGGAGCAACACTGGGACAAGCTGCTCACTTGGCACCAGCACCCCACGGAAGCAGGACCACAGCTCTGCCCTCACCACCACCACCCCCAGGAGGGATTCCCCATAACACGGTGGCTCCACCATCCCCCAGCAGGGAGCCACCGTTACCGCCTCCACCCTCCCCAGGTGCTGGGCCAGCCCAGGAGGGAGGGAAACATCACTCACGTCGTCCCATTGCTCTCCCCAAAGCGCTGGTAGGACTCGGGGTGGCCGAAGCCGTTCATGCCATCGGGCGGGCTCCCTTCTGGTGTGACATCCGTGGAGCTGTAGTCATTGTAGTCCTCGCTGCGGAGGCGCCGGGTGGACATGGTCCCTGTGGAAGGAGCTGCATTAGTGGTGCTCAGCTCCACACCCCCCTTCTCAGGCTCCTTGGGGTCAGCCATCGTGCCAGGAGACCAGCTCGTTCTGCCGGAGCAAGGTCTCCTCCAGGGCTTTTATACAGCAATGCGCTCCTGCCCCAGTGATCTGGCATGTCCCAAGGTCAAAGGTGCATGGCACATTCCCACCGGCTCGTTCCCCAGGCACACCCAGGGCTGGGGATCCTGCGGGCAGAGCTGGGATGTGACCCACTTCGTGCTGGGTGAAGGACCCGTGTGCCTCTGCTGAGGGGTGGCACCACAGCCACACAACGGCAGTGTCCCCAGCCCCAGTGCTCAGGACCAGGGGCTGTCAGAAGGACGGCCAGAAAAAAGCAACTGCTTTTAACTCACACACAGTTTGCTGCACGGGAACAGCTCGCTCTTGCCAGGGAAAGGAAAGTTTCCTAACTTCTCTTTTTTTTTTTTAAATTTAAAGAGTTTTTTATTTAAAAATATATATTAAAAAATTATTATGCTCCATCAGGCGGGAGCACAGCCCATGTGCTCACTTTCCTAACTTCTCTTTTTTTTTTTATTTAAAGAGTTTTTTATTTAAAAATATATATTAAAAAATTATTATGCTCCATCAGGCGGGAGCACAGCCCATGTGCTGACACCAAGCCATCCACCCCAGATGTTTCACAGCCCACAAAGGTGCCTCTAGGACTAAGGGGCTTCCCGGGATGAAGCACCTGCACAACCCAGAGCTCTTCCTGCAGCCAAAGCCCCAGCAGGGTCCTGCAAGCCAGCAGCACCAGTACATGCTCTCACCAAGGACACAAGCCTCCTGCCTTCGGCTGGAAAGCAGTCAGCTGGTTTAATTCCCACATGTGCCCTGAAGAGCTCCTGCTGCTTCTGCCCAGCCTTCTGCTCCCCTCCTAAAATAAGCCTTTGCCTCCTCCAGCCCCACAACCACCTCCAGCCTCCCGAGTCCCCGCCAGGAAGGGGCACTGGAGGCAGGAAAATTATCCATCAAGCTCCTGTCACACAGCCTGGGGACCCAGTCCCTGCCCCAAGGCTCCTCTGGGGTGTCATGTCCCAAGCATCACAGCAACCCCAGAGGTCCCAGTCCCCCCCATCCCCTGGCGCTGGTGGGGAGCCAGACAAGGGCCAAGCGGAAGCAGCAGAGAAATATCACCACCACAAAGGGGCTCGTTTCCTGCCAGAAGGCTCCTCAGGCGCCCGACGGGTCACGCGAGCACCCACAGGATGCGGCCCTGGCACTGACCGACACGTTTGGCTGTGCAGTGAAAACTCAAGCCTGGGCTGCTGGGGTCCTGCTCCATCCCCAGAGACACCCCCTACCCCAGGCACCCCCCCTGCCCAGCACCGCTCTCTGCCAACCTGGCTGCCAAGTGCAAAAACAAGCCTAGAGCTGCCATCCTTGGCAGTGATCCCCTTCCTCCAACCAGAAGGGAAGCGGGGAACAAGGGACTTTGCTCGGCTGGATGCCTGCCCCACATCCCGGTCACCCAGGATGCAACAAGGCTGCTTTGTTTCCTCCAGCACCGAGCGAGAGCGGCAGCGGAAAGCAGGACCGGTCCCTCCTGCGCAATCCCAGCCCGCAGAGCAGTGGCGAGCCCGGCTGGCAAGTAAGGAGCCAAAGGCAACCTATGCATCACCCCTGCCCAGCCTTCTCCCTCCCAGCCAGGCCACGTAATCGTGCCCTGAACCGGCTCCACCGCGGGCAGGGCCGCCCGGCGAGGCGGGCACCGGGAAGAGCGGCAGCGTTAGTTTACACAAGGAAAGCTTGAGAAGCCATTTGTCATCGGTGACGGGCCCGTGGGGCAAGGGGAGAGACTCGGGAGGCTTGGCCGAGCACCAGTGGGCAAGGAGAGCAGGCAGAGGGGGTGCCAGGTTGGGTGCCAGGCACGGCCAACCCCTCCCCAGAGACAGCCTGCCCATTATCTGAAGTACCCAACAGCAACATCCTGCAGATAAAACACAACACGGTTACATCAGTCTGCCTGATTGCTCCCCGTGATGATTATTTCTATTTTTTTTTTTTCTCCCCCCTCAAGCAGGCCTGGCTGCTTTTTGCTTTGAAGAGCCAGGGAAATGGGTTCATCGTGACTTGCCTTCTTTGTGCCTGGATTAAAGGTTGCGTAGCAGCCGGGAACAAGCACTCTGCTCCCCCGCAATCAACAAGGAGAAGCTGCAAAACTTGTCTCATCCGCAACATGAGTATTTCAAACCGAAGCAAAACCCCACTACATCATTTCCCAACCATGGCAGGAACAGCCACATTCGGTTTCCACTTTAAATTTGACTCCTCAGCGACTTTCATGTGCATTTTTTTCCCTCCCCTACGCACAGGCAATTTCATTGTGGTGAGCGAAGCACCCAGGAAAGCTGGGGAGGGGTGGCAGCGTGACAGCAATTTGTCCCTTGGAGTGACAGCCCCACGCCAGAAGTCAAAAAGCAAGATGTGACTCGCTGCTGACCCTTGCCAGCTTCTCCCCAGCTGCGTGCAGAACGGGCAACACCAAATCTTCCAGAAATGGAGCTTAACAGCAAAACTGACAGCCCCTTCCCATCACTCGTGTGGATCATTTTCTTTCCAAAGCGCTGCTCTGTGACCCAGCTGGGGGTGGCACAAGGGAGAGCCAGCCCTGCCACAGCCCCCTCCTGCATCACCCCAACTCCCCTGCCCGCAGGGAGGCTGTGGCCGAGCCCCTTCCCCAGGTCACCGTGCCCAGGTTGGCACGACACCTTCCAAACTCGATGACCACCTCAGCTGTGCCCCCGCAGCATCCATCCTCCTGTCCCTGTGTGACCCAGTGCTCTCCCAGCCCCAAAGTCACCTCCAGGCTCACCTTTCCAGCACGGCCTGGTCCCTCCAGCCCATCTTCTCCCTACAGGGAGGCTGCTCTGCAGAGACCCCCCCGCCTTGTCCCTGCAGCTCCCCCCCCAGCCATGCTGCCCTGCTCCCCCC